GTAAAACGGACACGAACAACACATTCACGATTCGAGTTTGGTGTAGTTTCTCTTCTCTACCTTTGCCTGTATATTATAGTATTCGGGCAACGGAAACACGGCAAATAAACGGATCGATATTCGACGAAGCGGAAACGAAAACGAATATCCACCGGTGTATACGCACGTATATACACACACGTATACATACATATATATATATAAATACATATATAGGAAAAACTCACCGGATGGCGCGGGAACTTGGGTCTCGAACACCTCCGGAGGTTTCTTGAGATCGGACTTGCGATCCACGGGGATCCCGTTCTTGGACATCTGGCCGCTCGAAGGGATCTATCAAATCGTTGTCTTCGATAAACTCGATCGAATTTCCCCACGAAGGTGGCGGCGGTGGTGCGAAGGTGGTGCGAAGGAAAGCGAACGGCCGCCGAAGTGTGACGCGTCGCGTCGCTCTCGCAGCTACTGTTGGAAACGGTGCCGAACTCGCGACACTTAGCCGCGAACACTTAGTGGACGTCGACCAATTAGAACACGCGATTCGAACCCCACCGATCGCCTCCCTCCCCCACGCGTCGATATCGCCTCTCCCGAATCGGATCGTCGCCACGGGAAATCAAAGAATTTCGCCTCTTCGAAATTCGTTTTCCATTCCCTCTCTATCTCTCTCGATCCCCGCCTCGACCTCGTGCTCATCACCGCGTTTTCCAAACACAAGATGATCCGTAATTATTCACGTGACCTAAAATCGCGAAAACTCGATCGAGACTTTCTTCCATTTGCAGAGAGCTACGATTTATCACGTATTCCGAACACGAGTTCGTGTTCCATCTCCCCGTTTAAACGGAAAGTTAGAGAGAGAGAGAGAATCGAGACGAAGGATCGACAAACTCGTCGTCGATACATGATGCACTCGTGATGCGCGAGCGAGCTTTCGCCCAAATCCAATGTAATCCCGTGCACGCGTAACCGATAGAAGACGCGATGCGATTGGTGGGACGGTCGTAAAGCCTGGCCGTTTAACTCGAACGGACGAACGAGCGGCCGGCGATTAGGACTGCGCGGTGGGCTCGACGCACGTGTCAATCACTAACTCGTCACGCGATACACCGATGAGAGAGGACCGCGCGCAAGGTCTCTTAGCGAGATGGCTTCCAGGTGATATACCCCTCGCGCTCATCCTCCTGCCACGCGCCGTTTCTACCCGATATCATCTCTCCACTCGTCTCCACGATTACTATTTTTCCCCGGATAAATTGCCTCTTCCCAACCTCTAATCGTCTCGATCGTAGATATTTATCGCTACGACTCGCCGATTTATCGATCGGAAACACGAGTAGCTACTTCACGCCTCTATTCTCGATTTACATCGTTTGCACGGATACACCGTCGTAACGTTGTACACGAGCTTGGAAATGTCTTTTGCGTACCTAATAATTTCCTCGAAAAAAAAATTAGAAACGAAATTGCAGTGTCGGATAGCATCGTATCGATTGAATTCTCTCTGGTATTATCTATTCGACAACTTGCATTTTTCTCCGAATACGATTCGAAAACGGTGAATATTTTAGATAACGAACGATGTGTGTGTGTGTGTGTGTGTGTG